AGGAGGCAGGGTCTCGCAGGTCGCCGGAGAGGTTCGCGCCTGCGGGACAGGGACGCGTCGTGGACGTGTCTAGGAAGCGTGCGTCTCGCAGGTCGCCGGAGAGGTCCGCGCCCTCCATCATTCCCACCACGGCGGGGAAGACGAAGCTGAAGACGCGAGGCAAGTCGCAGAGCTCGCCCAGCGTCGAGTGCGGGCTCGGGTCGCACTGGCCAGACAGGACCGGGCTCGGGAGTGCCGTGTGCCTGAGGCCGTACCGGCCGGAGCCGTTCACAAAGCACCACTCGCCCGATCCGCCGCCGCCCGACCCGCCTCCGCCGCCCGATCCGCCGTCCAGTGACCCGCTGTCGAGGAGCGCGGCGTCGAGAAGGAAGTCGGCGGGTACGCAGGGCGCGTCCCACGCCCACGGCCGGTAGGAGGCGCTCACGCCGTCGAGCCCGACCCCGGACGGCGTGTACTGCAGCTCGCCAAGGTCGGGCACGATGACGCGCGCCTCGCGTTGCAGCCAGACCGAGCCGATGGCGGCGGCGAGCGCGACGGTGAGGCCGGCAAAGATGAGACCGTTGACGCGGGCGAAGGCGCCGGCGCCCTGCAGCAGGGGAGGGCGCGGCGTCGGGGCACAGGAGGGAGCGAGCGCGCGCGCGGCTCCGGCTCTCTCTCTCTCTCTCTCTCTCTCTCTCTCTCTCTCTCTCTCTCTCTCTCTCTCTCTCTCTCTCTCTCTCTCTCTCCTTGTGCGTATGTGCGTGCGTGCGTTGTGTGTGTGTGTGTGTGTGTGTGTGTGTGTGTGTGTGTGCGTGTGTGTGTGTGTGTGTGTGTGTGTGTGTGTGCGTGCGTGTGCGTGTGCTTCCCGCGCTTTGACGGCGACGAGGAAGAGGAGGAAGAGGACGGCGGACGAGAAGGCGAGCTTGTTGGAAAAGGTGGAGGTATGCGGCTCGAAGAAGGTCTGGAACACGACGTCCGTGAAGGAGCGGGTGTTGAAGGTCACATTGAGGCAGTAGGTGAGCCAGAAGAGGAGGCCCGACGAGCCGCCAAACGCGGGCCCGAGCGAGCGGGAGATCATAAAGTAGGCGCCCCCGCCGCGCATGCGGCCGTTCGTGACGAGCGCCGAGAAGGACGAGATGGTCAGATAGGCGAGCGTCTCGCAGAAGACGAAGATGGCGAGAGAGCCGAGCCAGCCCATCATGCCGACGGAGAAGCCGACAAAGAGGAAGAGCGGCGCACCAAGGATATTGAGCAGGCAGGGAACGAACACGCCGTTGAGCGTCCCGAGGTTGTTGTGGCTGACAGCGCTGCTGCCCATGAGAGAGGTGCGCAGGTCCTGCTGCATCGAGAAGCGGGTGACGCGGCGAATCGACTGGACCGTCCTTGTCAGTGTCATGCACGGCGGTCGGCAGGGATGGAAGGATGCCCGCCGCGCCCTTCTCCAGTCGAAGCGTCAGCAGGCAAAAAGAATTAGAAATTGGCCTACGCTGCGCGCGTCCACCCATACCGCCACATTCCTGAGACGAGCGAGGGCAGCCTCCTTAAAGGCAACAGGGTCTAGATTCGGAGCGCTCGCCGAAGAGGAGTACGACAAAATAGCGCCCGTGATTGCCTGCACGCTGCCCGCACTCACGGACCCCATACCCGAAAGAAAGAGAGGGGAGCTCGCGGGGGAGGTGACGAGTGAACTACAGGTAGTGGGGAAGGCAGCCTCGATTGCCATACAGACATGGTTCATGCGAAACAACGACAAGACCAAGGCACGGGCAGAGGAACGAGAGAAGAATATAGGGTGGATAAAGCGCCTGTTCACGGCATGGAGGGTGAGCCACGCCGAACGTACCGAACGTAGAGCCGAGCGGAAGGAAGCCGGGGAAGACTCCGAGGAGGGCGAACCAGTGGAAATCCCGTTGTCAGCCGTCACGATGCACCCGAAGGGACCCCAGCGCCGGCATCATCCGTGAAGGCACAAGTGTTCGAAGAGAGAGTGGACCTGAGCAATGATATGACTGGGCGGCAAATGATCGCAGTGGGCGTCAGAAGACTCGTCCTTGCGCGAGGAGAGCTCGAGATAGACTCGAGGGGCCAGGATATGCAGCGAGGAGGGCGGAGCTGCGCCGAAAGGCGCAAGAAGCCGCGAGAACAAGGGACCGGCAGGCGGCGGCGGCGTCGCAGAACGAGGCAGAGAGGAGAGCGACGCGACAGAGGAAGAAGTGACAAGGGAAAGAACGACGAGAGTGGGAAGACCGCGAGGTGGCATGAAGGTTGCAGCGAGGAATCGGCGAGAGGCTGCGAAGAGAGATAGGAAGAGGCGGACGCCCAAGGGTGGGCGACGGCTAGCGCATCACACCCCTCTCCTTAAAATCCCTGTGTGGTGGCGGCGTGCCGTCCTCCCATCCCTCCCTTGGGTTGTCGTTTGCTTTCTTTCTTTACCCATACCGCGTTGCCGTTGGTGTCCAGTCCGAGCCTGGCTGTTCTTCACCTTCCTACCTACCTACCTACCTTGCCCTGCCATCCCCCTCGGAGGCCCTCCCTTCGATCTCTGTTTTCTTTCTTTCTTTTCCACCCTGGCTGTTTTCTTTCTTTTTGCGTGAGCTGCGGACTGGCGTGCCGTCCTCCCATCCCTCCCCCTTCGCCTGTGTGTTTCGTTCTTTCTAGGTGCTGCACTGCGTGCCGTCCGTTCCTTAAACGAAAAGTGTTTGTGAATAATTCGGTCCCTGTGGGCACCCTAAGCCGGGATTCGCTCCATGTCCGTGCTACAGGTGCCACATCCTACCACGCGCATCGCATCTGCGAGGCTGCGCACTAGGACGGTGGCTTGCGCATCGCTGGCGCTGTGGATGCGCTCCAATAAGGCGAGCGGGAGCACGGAGCCGTCCATCACAAACTCGAGGCGGACGCCGGCCCGCTGCGCAATCGCGTGCGCCGCGAGGTAGTGGCCAATGCACAGCCGCGCGTCGCGCTCCACCGACACCATGTACTCGAAGCCCGGGGCGCCGTCAACCAGGTAGTCGACGACGGCGATCGGGTCTCCGCTCTCCCCGCCCTCCTCCCCAGCATCCTCCTCCCCCGTTGCCTCCTCGACGCGCTTCCCCGCGGCCACCGCCCCGCCCTCCGCCCCACCCGCCAGCACGTGGCCGAGCACCGGAAATCCCAGCGCGACTCCAACCTCTGCAAAGGGAACGTCCTCGTCGCGCGGCAGCAGCAGCGCGCGGCGGACGCACCCATACTCTGGATGTGCGCGGTTCGCGAGCACCCACATGCCGCGGAAGCACTCTCGCGTGCCGGCGACGCGGGCGTCGTGCCGTATCTCCTCGAGCTCGAGCTGCGGCGCAGCGGCAGCGGCCTGCCGCCAGACAGCATCGACCGCCTTGCACGTCAGCTGCGAGGTGCCGTACGATAGGCAGATCAGCACCGCAGGCTTGAGGCCACCGAGCAGGAGGAGGTACTCCAGGCTGTGACCCTGCTCCGCCGAGAGGCCCTGCTCCGCGTGCTCTGCGAGGAAGCGGGCCTCGCTCGCGGTGGCTCTGAGATAGGCCGCCGTCAGCTCCGGAAGAGGTAGCACCGGCACGGGCGCCCGAAGGCGCCAGCATGGTGCAGGCATGGCGCAGCAAACTTTTTTCAAGAGAAAGCGGAAAAAAAACAACAACTAACGCACTCTCTCACATGACAAGCGATCCCACGACAGCGATTGTGGGGACTACATGACCCGTACGTGAGGGGTGGAGGGGACCGTCCGCAGAGCTAGGCGGCGCGGGCACCCACACACTCCCACCCCACCACCCAGAGCTCCTGTGCGAAGAAGAAACGGAGCCGCGAAAAAGAAATACCAATTCCCAGAAGCGCGCCTTCACTGTAGATCACTTCGGTTCCAGGCATGAACGTGCTCCGCCGCCGCCCCCTCGTCTCCTCCACCTCTCGCGGCGGCACCGCGGCGGCGTCGTCGGCTCCCGGCCCGGGCGGTGGGCTCGACGGCGGCGCGCTGCGCCTGCTGCGCTGGTCCTCGGCGGCGCTCTCTGTGCTCAAGCCGCTCGGGATGGGGTACGTCGCGATCTGCGGCGCCGTCTACGTGTTTCAGCGCAACCTGCAGTACTTCCCGACCAAGGAGTCTCCGGCTCTTCCCGCCTCCATCCACAAGACCTTCTCCGGCGTGCGCGAGGTCGAGTTTGTCGCCGCGGACGGCACCCGCTGCCTCGGCTGGCACTGGCCGCCTCCCGAGCCCGAGGCGCCCGTCACGCCCTTCTTCTGGCTCAAGCCGTCCGTCGGCGGGTACGGCGAGGCGGAGGTGCGGCGCGCCTGCGCCGAGGCGCGCGAGCGCTACCCGCACCTGCGAGAGCTCGACGTGCTGCTGCTGCACGGCAACGCGGGAGACCGCTCGCACCGGCTCGGGTGGATGCACCTGCTGCGGGAGGGACTGGGCGTGTCGGTGACGGTGCTCGACTACCGCGGCTTCGGCGGCTCGGACGGCAGCCCGAGCGAGGACGGCCTCATCGCAGACGGCGCGGCGGCGGCAAAGTGGCTGCGCGCGCACGGCGGCCCCGCCGGGCGGAAGCTGGTCCTGTGGGGCGAGTCGATCGGCTCGGGCGTCGCCGTGGCGCTGAGTGACGGCGAGGCATCGGCGCCGCTCTCGCCCGCCGAGCGGCCGGACGCGGTCGTCATCGAGGGCGGGCTCTCGAGCTGCGTCGGCCCTTTCCCCGAACCTTCTCGGAACCTTCCCCATAGGTCATCATCGAGGGCGGGCTGTCGAGCTGCGTCGACGTCGCCGCGCGCGCGTACCCGTGGCTGCCCGTGCGGCTTCCCGGCCTGATGCGCGACCGGTTCGACAATGTCGTCCGCGCGCGGCGCATGCCCTCCTCGCTGCCGGTGCTGCAGCTGCACGGCACGCTCGACGAGATCGTCCCCTTTGAGTTTGGCGTGCAGCTGCACGAGGCGTTGCCGGCCGGCAACAAGCGCTTCGTGGCGCTCGAGGGGACGGGCCACAACGACATCCCGTACCACGACACGAGGCGGTACCTGCAGGAGGTGGCGGAGTTCCTGGGCTCCGCGGTGTAAGCCTTAGGGCGCCGAGCCCACCTGCCTCCTGCGAGGCTGATCCGCGCAATCCACGCCGAGAAAATGACACACCCTGCTCCATCATCAAAGCTGTTTTTAATAATTTTGGCTACCCTCCTGTATATGTGGACATGAACAATCCGAAGGTGCATGGTGCTCAACTATCACAAGTATCATCAATGCCGCCTGACACCCCCGCGCCGCGCCGGCCCGCAGCCGCACCGACCCGCGCGCGCCGCGGCCGCGGCCCGCGCGCCAGCAGCCCCTGCCCACGATACGCCGCCCCGACCGCACCCCTCGCAGAGGCCAGAGCCTTGCGTGTGCGCGCCATGCAACAAATGCGCCGCTAAGCTACGCCTTCTTCCTGGTGAGCGCGCCCCAGTGGCCGCTCCGCTGGATCTCAAAGTCTGTGGGATCAAAGTGCATCGGCTCGTGCTCGTGCGGCGTCTTGAGGGTGAAGGTGCTCTTCTCGACGAGGCTGTAGTTGAACTTGGACCTGTTAGCCTTGGAGAGGTACGAGGTTTTGGTCCACTCGATGTCGAAGAGCGTCGCCGTCACCCCGCCCAGACGGGTGTTGAGAATGTCGAGGGTTGTGTATCTGAGGGGCGCAGCAAGAGGTGTGGGGATTTGTGTGCGGGAAGGGGTCCAGGCATGCAAGGCTCGCGCACGAGATGAAGTTGAAGCCGCATTGCATCATGTCGTTCTCGATCTCTTTGCCGTCCTTAGTGTTGTCAACGGGGAAGAAGATGGTGGCGAGGTCGTCCAAGGTGAGCGGCGGCAGGCAGACGTCCCCCGCCTTGCCGCCGGCCTCGGTGACGAAGCACGAGACGAAGAGGCCCTCGCTGCCCCAGTCGGTGCGGTTCTTGAGCCAGTAGCTGGTCTTGTCGTCGCACGGCGACTTGAGGTACTTGATCTGGCCCGTGTTGATGCACATGAGCTCGCGGTACGTCTTTGGCGGTCCCTCGAGCACGTCGCCGTCGATGTCGTGCTTGCACGCCTCGAGGTCGGCGCACTCGGTCCACGAGCGCGGGTTGGCCGGATTGGGGCACGAGTACTTCTCGTCATCCTCGTCGACCATGTGCGCAAAGAACTTCCACGAGTGCGACCCCACCGCCATGAGGCCGTGGCCCGCCTTGCCGTCCTTCCATGTGTTGCGGAGGATGAAGCCGCCTGTGTTTCCCCACTCGTCGCGATGAAAGTCGTTGTACCCGACGATGTTGATGGCGTGCCCGCCCGCCTGCCCCATCGGTGCGCCATTCGCCTTGACGAACCACTCGCCCTTCATCGACACCATCGACTTGCCGTCGGTGAAGCACGAGGAGTAATCCTTGTAGACGGGGTCGTTCGGGCAGTTGACGATGGGCTTGCCATTGCCCGGGCAGTTGTACGCAGCTGTGCACGGGAAGTAAAAGGCAGAGTTGGTCTCGGTCACGCCCAGGGCGAGCGGGCGCCCCGAGCGGACTAGCGCGGCCTTGATGTCGGCCGAGGTGGCGTAGTCGTGGATCCTGTTGATCTTGAACTCGAGCGGGTTCACCTGCGCGGCCGGGCATCCGGGTGGGGTCGGGCGGCGACCGGCGCTCAAGTCCACGGGTCTCGGGAAGGGGGTTTCGGTCGAGGGCCGCTCTCTCATCGATCGCCTTGCGGTACTGCATCAGCCCGGGGCAGACGCGCTCGATGTCGTAGCCCTGGTTCTCCTCGTACTTGCAGATCGAGTCCGGGATGGGCCCGATCTTGCCAACGTTTGGATAGTGCGACATCAGGCGGTCGTCGGAGCCGCCCTCCCCCTCCGTCGTGTCGGCAAAACGGATGGGCATCTTGGGCTTGCCCGTGATGTTTGGCCCGTGCCCCGGGGTGTTGGAGTCGGAGCCGACGACCTTGTTGATCGGGCACATTGAGGTCGGGTTCTTTTTGCACTCCTCCATCAGCGCAATCCCCAGCGCCTGCCGGCTCAGCCTGAGGAACTTGGTGCCGTCAAGGTAGCCGTTGGTCGCGCCTGGTGGTCACCGAGAGTGGCGGGGCGTGGAGGGCGCGGAAGGTGCGATTGCGCCAGCGTTGAGCGCCGAGTGCAGGCCTCGGTGGTGGGGCGAGAGCACACACCGTAGTGAATGTAGGACGACTCGAGGATACCCGCGGTGGCAAACAGCCAGCAGTCGCCGCGGTTGGCCTGATCGGACGAGGGCGTCACGTACGGTATGACGTACTTTGCTGGCAGTTTGGACATGAGCGGGAAGATCTCTTCCATCCTCTCCTCCTCCTTTTCTTTCATCGAAGGCGGCAGGAACTTTGCCCACGGCGCGGCCTCTTTTTTGTGGCTCGCGGACATGCTCGCGGAGAGGAGGGTTTGCTGCGCGCGCAGCTGCTCAGCCAGCTGCTCCTGCAAGCTGCTCAGCGCCGCCTGCGCACAGACAGCGTTGACGTGCTCGCAACGCGTGGTGTCTCTGACATTGCATTGTGCGGGGGAGTGGAGAGCGGCGACGACCTGCTGCCGCATGATGCCTACGCTGGCCAACCCAAGGAGCAAGGCCGCCCCGATCAGCACGGGAGCAGCGGCGTGCGACACCCTGCTTCTGTTGCCCGAGGCGCCGACGCGCGAGTAGTCCGACTCCATCTCCCTGGCGAGCATCCCGACCGCCTAGGTGGCGAACTCTGCCGACGATCGACGAGCGCGGATGGGTGTTGGTCCCCCCCCCATCACACCCAAATTACGAGTGGGGATACACGCGCTCTTCTACACTTCATCCGATCACTACCGAGAAGAGAACGAGAGTCGTGGTGGAGAGGGAGGGAGGGAGGGAGGGAGGGAGGGAGAGAGAGGGAGAGAGAGGAGGGAGGGAGGGAGAGAGAGAGAGAGAGAGAGAGAGAGAGAGAGAGAGAGAGAGAGAGAGAGAGAGAGAGAGAGAGAGAGAGAGAGGAGGAGGAGGAGGAGGAGGGGTGTGGGGGGAGACTTGCTTGCCAAGGCAAAATATAAAATTTTCTTTCTTTGCTCCAAGTCGCTTCCTAAGCCCTGGCCTCCAACACCCACACCTCGAGCTCGACTGCGCTCTGCGGACTGGCAGTCGACTGGGGCACCAAACCTCGACACCAACTCGACACCTCGACACCACCTGCCAAGCAACTCGAACACACCATGACACTCTGACACCCCTCGACACCATCTAGGCTGGGATCATGCTCGTCCTTGTCTAGGTAGGTGCCAAAGAGCAAATTCGAACCTCCACCCCCCTCGACACCTCGACACCGCTCGACACCGCTCGACACCGCTCGACACCGCTCGACACCGCTCGACACCGCTCGACACCGCTCGACACCGCTCGACACCGCTCGACACCGCTCGACACCGCTCGACACCTCTTGATCTTAACACAGCAGAGACCCATTGGAGTCACAGAGTTAGAAGATCAGAGTTGCAGCCCAGCAATGAATCAAACTTGGGTGTGGCACTTTCATCCCTCAGAGCTCAGTTGCAGCCTCTGAGCCTCTCTGCTCTCACCTCTCAGTTGCACCCCTGCTGATGTAGCTGCAACCATGGCAGTACTCAGGACAGGTACGCCTTCAGCCTTGCCCCACAGGCCTTTTAAAGGCATGGCACAGGCGTCGCGATCTTCGGTACATCCCCGTCGCCTTTCAGCATCGGTCCTCGCGGGGGGGCGTCTCTGAATTCGGACGTTTGTGCTACCCTTCACGCACACTACACACGGTGTACTAGCACGGCGCCATCCTACGCCCGTGCCCCATGAATGTCGATACTCCAGTATCATACCATTGGTGCCACAATCGTGTCACGTGGACGTCCCTCAGTCAGCGCGCGTCTTCCCTGTCGCGAACCGATGTCCTAGACGTCGTGCCTCTCTGATGGTCTGATCCTTTACAGTCCTTTGAGCCAGCCACCCTCCGGCTCTTACCGTGCCCTCCATACTCGATTTTCCTCGTTCACATCCCTTATACACCATCAACATCAACTTCTATCAATCACACCCTACCACCTACATCAAATCCCTTCCCCACCAAAACCATCTTCATTCATAAACCCACATCTTTAAAATCACATCTCCTCTTCACCTTCTCATTTTTTCACCATCACTTCTCTCCTCACTCCCCCCCCCCCTTCACACACACACACACACACACATCTTCTTACCATTACCATCACATATCCCCCTGTCACCATGTATTCCTACATAATTGCCCAACACCGTCGACCAACACCGTACACAACAAACACAAAGAAAAAAGCTTAGCCATATGAGTCGCCGCCCGGCGGGCTCCAACATCAACATACGTTCATCCCGCGTAACTCAGTTGGTAGAGTGACAGACCCTTAATTACACAGTGTGTATTCTTTTTTGCTCTCTGGCAGAGAGCAAGCAAGCCCACTCAACCCCAAGTACTCACCGTTTTACAGTGGTGTTGCTTGTGCAAGTTGTGCAGAGGCTGCAGCTTCTGCTGGGGCGGAATGCGCAGGGTTTTCGGCGCGATGCCCTCGGCGAGTACACGCTACTGCGCTGCCGCAAGCTCTCCTGCGCGCGCGTGACGTGTGGGGCGCGTGCGCTGCGCTCAAACGTCGCGATTTGGCAATAGGCGCTCGAGCCGGCGCACAGCGGCGGGGTGCGCGGCTCCGGGATCGGCCGTCACGTCGAGGAGGGGGGCTGTCGGCGGCTCGAGCGGCGAGGCGTGCCGCTCTGCTGCGCCGCCGACAGCCCCTCTTCCGAGCCGGCGCGTGGCGGCGAGCCGCGGCCAGTCGCAGTGTCGCGGTGGCGGCGAGCGTTCATCGGCCGGCAGCGAGAGCGGCCGTCACGTCGAGGAGGGGGGGTGGAGGGGGCTGTCGGCGGTTCGTGTGGCTCGAGGCGCGCCTACGCTGCGCCGCCTTGAGCCCTCGATCCGGCGCGTGGCGGGAGGGGCGAGCCGCGGTCATCGTCGATGGTGGTGGTGGTGGTGCGGCGGCGGCTCGCTCTTCCCTCCGGCGGCGGCTCTGCTCCCGCCGCCGCCTGTTGCGCCACGCTCACGCTACGGAGCAGGCACTCGCGCCCGGTGAGCGCTGCAAAGGGGATCGGGGGGGGCGCGCGAGAGGGGGCGCGGGTCGGGCGCGCATCGGCCGGCTGCGAGAGCGGCCGTCACGTCGGGGGGGGGGCGGGTCGGCGGCTCGTGTGGCTCGAGACGCAGCAGTTGCTGTTGCGCCGCCGCCGAGCCCTATTGCCGATCCGGCGCCTGGCGGCAGGGGCGAGCCGCGGTCATCGTCGCTGGTGCGGCGGCGGCGGCGGCGGCTCGCTCTTCCTTCCGGTGGCGGCTCCGCTCCCGCCGCCGCTCGCCGCACCAAGCACACGCCGCTGAGCAGACTCGCAGGTCAGAGTGGCCGGACAGTCGGTGCTGCCCAGCGGCGACAGGCCAACGTGTGTACGTGCGCGTGCACGCCGCCTTTGCGCGCCGCGTTGCGGAGCGAGGCGCGCCGCGTTGCGGAACGAGGCGCGTGTGTGTAAGCATGTGGTGCGTAGAGAGCACGCGCCGTGCTGCTGGGTGCCGCACGGCTCTGCCAGTAGAGAGCGGGCGGCGCGTCACAATGTGAGGTGTGTGGTTGACTCTCGCTCCTACCGTACCCACGTACGTACTGTGGTGGGATGTGTGTATGCGGCGACTCATGACGGCAAAAATGTAAGCCCCGCGGCCCTGGCCACTGTTTGTAGCCAACCAATGGGGTGCATGTTGCTTGTTGCCTGCTTAGTTGACATGCGCCGCCCTCGACTCTGAGCCGACGTGCTCTGCCCTCGCCTCCGCCGTAGCCCAGCAATAGGCCAGCGCCTCTGCCGCCAGCTGGCCGCCACCGCCGTCGCCGTCCGCTGCACCGTCGAGGACCCGATTGAAGGACCCGAGTCTCGCCTTCGTCGTCGAGCGTGTTGCCTCGCCTCGCACCGTCGGCGCTCTTCTGGCCAGCACGCGAGACACCTGCGCCGCCCTCGACTCTGAGGTCGCACAGCCAGTGCTTCACGCTTCAGCTTTCGTAGCTTTACCTCTGGCTCCGCGCTGCCCCTCGCCTTCGTCAAGGGCGACTCTCGAATGTCAACTACTCTGAGGGAGGGTGAGTGTAGAGGATGTAGAGTGTAGAGCGCTGTAGAGCTGTGGAGCTGTAGAGCGCTCTGGAGCGCTGTAGAGTTGTAGAGCTCTACATCCGGCGCGGGACGAACTGCGTGCGTTGTAGAGCGATGTAGAGGCGCTCTACAACGTGATATATCTATAACAACTCTACATCATATAGCGGCGAACGAGGCACGGTCGCTCTCCGACATGAGGCGCGTTGCACTTGCCAGTGCTGCGCTGGCCTTCTGTCTGCCCGCCCAATGGGTGGCAGGTGCCAGAGTCTGCTGCTGTGGCATGCCTCACGGCTGCAACTGGCCGGCGCCTCGCCCTCGGCGCAGCGATCGTGGCCAGCGCAACTCGGTACTCGCCTGCCTGGACTCAACGCTCAGCCAGGAGCTCCCGCACGCGCTGGCGCGAGTCATGGCGCAGACAACGCGTCTGAATGCTCGCCTCGCCTCGCGCAAATGCGACCGTCCTCGCAGCCGACAGTCCACCGCCTGCTAAAGAAGCACAGCGACGACTGCGGCACCGGCGACGCATGGCAGGCTGGTCATGACGCAGTTATAGGGTGTGTGACGTCAGAGTGACTCTCTGGGTGTCACGTGTCAGTGATAGTCAGGGCCGTCCATCAGAGCTCCAGTAAGCTCGGAGACACCCCATTATCGCCTCCGCCCTCTCCGCCCTCGCCGCCACACTCCCCTCCTCCGTCTTCGCCTCCTCCGCCCTCGCCGCCGCACTCACCTCCTCCGCCCCCGCCCCCGCCCTCTCCGCCCTCGCCGCCGCACTCGCCTCCTCCGTCGCTCCGTCCTCGCCCTCGCCGCCGCCGCCCTCGCCGCCCCCGCCGTCGCCACCGCCCTCGCCACCCCCTCCCTCACCTCCGCCTCCCTCGCCACCGCCCTCTCCGCCTCCGCCCTCGCCGCCGCCCTCGCCGCCGCCCCCCGCCGAGCCCGCCGCCGCCCTCGCCACCGCCCTCGCCGCCTCCGCCAAGCCCGACACAGAGCCCTCCCCCGCCCTCGCCGCCGCCGCCGTCCCCGCCGCCCTCGCCGCCTCCGCCCCTAGCTCCGCCCTCGCCGTCGCCCTCGCCGGCGCCCCCGAGCCCGCCGCCGCCCTCGCCGCCGCACTCGCCGCCTCCGCCAAGGGGCTGTTGGCACAGGGGGAGGTGTCAATCACGCTCCCGGGACGCCGGAGTATCCGCCGGAGAGATCGGGTTGGTCTCCCCCGCCTTCAGCCCTGACCCGAAGGGGACGCCATCACCCTCGCCCAGGGATCTACTCGAGTACAATGGTCAATGCTGTCTCAAGGTCCGACAGGTTCGGCACACCGGGCACCGCCTCGGTATACAACGGGGTGCACCCGGAAAATGCGCCTGCCTGCGGGCTGCGGGCGGACCCTTACCGATCACAGATCACACCCTCCCTCAGCAACTACCAACTACTCCCTCCTTGTGTCGCCTAGCCGAGCAACACCAATAGGCCAGCGCCTCTGCCGCCAGCCCCAGCGCCGTCGGCTGTACCGTCGAGGACCCGATCGTTTCCCAAGTCTCGCCTTCGTCGTCGAGCGTGTTGCCTCGCCTCGCACCGTCGGCGCTCTTCTGGCCAGCACGCGAGACACCTGCGCCGCCACCGAATCTGAGCGGACGTGCTCTGGCCTTTTCCGCCTCCGCCGTAGCCAAGCAATACCCTTCATTCACGCCCACTACACACGGTTACTAGTAACGCCATCCTACGCCCGTGCCCCATGAATGTCGATACTCCAGTATCATACCATTGGTGCCACAATCGTGTCACGTGGACGTCCCTCAGTCAGCGCGCGTCTTCCCTGTCGCGAACCGATGTCCTAGACGTCGTGCCTCTCTGATGGTCTGATCCTTTACAGTCCTTTGAGCCAGCCACCCTCCGGCTCTTACCGTGCCCTCCATACTCGATTTTCCTCATTCACATCCCTTACACACCATCAACATCAACTTCTATCAATCACACCCTACCACCTACCTCACAAATCCCTTCCCCACCAAAACCAAAACATCTCTCTCCAAAACCATCTTCATTCATTTATAAACCCACATCTTTAAAATCACATCTCCTCTTCACCTTCTCATTTTTTCACCATCACTTCTCTCCACACTCCCCCCCCTCGCC